GTGAAGTTCTTGGTGGACAGCGGTGCCGGAGTGAGGCCCTTGTTGGTCCAGTTGTTGTAGGTATAAGCCGGGTACATGTCGTCGTAAGGCTGCATGAGACCGCTGAACTGGGGCAGGTAGCTGTTCTTGCACAGGTCCATCTGCTGGTTCCGCTCCCGCTTCCTCCACTTAGCCCGGCGGTTTTTGAACCACACCTGGAAGGGACACACAGAACCGTGAGCATTAACCAGAATGCTGTAAAATGTAAAATTAATTTTCTAGATGATACAGGAATGACTCGAGTCCACATCCGAAGCAGCATTTCAAGCTCGTGTGATATTCAGTTCATGAAGCACAAGTGTAATTTCTTTTTTCTTAAAACGACACTAATGATCATTTATTGATGTCTGAATCATTTATTTCCACATATATTGTGGCAACAAGCTTCAGACCCCGCTTTGGTGCCCTTGAATTGTTGCCTTTAAGGGGAGTTAGTGTCTAGGGTGCTTTAAAACCTTGCGTGCTCATTAAAAGGAAACAAACAACAACAAATTTAAAAAAAAAACATTACAGAATAAAGGCATTTTTAACTAAATGATTTTTGAATTTTATAGCGGTTAATTGTTGATGAGTTAAAATCTTTTATAGGCCCACAGCCATATTCAGCAGTTTCAGCTGCGATCCCATTTTCAATGTTCTCAGATGTCAAATATCAACGAGTTATAATTACAGAAAAACACCGACTGCTTTTTAATTTATGATTAGTTAGGAAACACGCACTTTTTTGTTTTTTAAAAATACCAAACCAATACCAAAAAAGGATCCTTTTTTGAGTGAAACGCATATTCAGAGTTTCCATACCCGAGTCGACAAACTAGCCTTGGAGTCAGGGAGAGCAGTTTCTGCTGACGAGCTACAACCCGGTAAAATAAATACAGAATCAGCGAGACTGAATGAGTGGACATCCTTTAAGTTTATGTGGACGACGACTGCGGGATGTATTAATCCTAATCAGTGGACTGATGTTAGAAATTCGTTTTGGTTATATTCATATAGACTAGACAATATATTCAACACTCTCTTTACAAATGTAATTTTTCCTTCCTGTAGACTATTTTACCCTTTACAAATAAACTAGCAAATACATTAAATCGTTTATGAAAACTGTTTCCAGATGTTTTGATATTATACATATTAGTATAAGACTACCACACACTTGTACATCACAACGAGAATGTGTGTTTACACCAGATCCAAGATGGAGGTGTATTAATGTTGATTTTTTTTTGGCCTCATTTCTAACAATGAAATAAGAAGTATTTCTAAAGATAAATCAGTGTAAATAAAAGGCGCGTGTGTTTGTGTAAGTCAGACGTAAAACCATCAGGTTCACAGAGCAACTCGAACAGCTCCGCGGATGACTCGAAATGAAACAGAAAAGCGCTTCTGGATAACCTCACACCTTATCAAAACCTAACAAAATACTAGTCGGTACTCTCCAATTCATTGTTAATTCATAGTAGAAACAATTTACAACTGGTATCACCAGACGGCCTCGCGGAAGCTATTTATAGTGGTGCGGAACACTGTGCAGCCGACAAATTGTCCACAAAGACTTGAGCGATGTGACAGAGAGCTGCGGAGGAAACACTCAAGACTGCAGTCAGAGCCCAGCCTCGAGTTTTCCTGCACCCAGCTATAAAATGCATACTTTGGATTTTAATGACACTTGCACGACGAAAACCACGTTAAGAATATGAATATAATGACTGACGTGTCAAAGTGTGCTTATAAATATTATGAAATTATATTTAAAATCATAATTGCATCTTATTTAAAGTAAATTGATCTTTAAAATATTTCCAATTATTTCAAATTTCACTGAATCTCAAATATTCAGCGTGTTATTACACCCCCATTTTTTTATTCCTAATAATGTTTTTAATTCCTAATGAAAAAGGGGAACGAAAGAAAAAAAGATATTATAAGAACTGCGCTGATTCAAATCGACGAAACATATTATTATTGTTATTATTCATTTTTACTCAAAACAGTTTAAAAATGTAGCTAGAATAAATATAATACATGTAAGTCCAATTCATTAAAAAGCCATCTATATATATACGGAGAGACGTGAACGCTCTCCTTCGTGGAAAAAAAAAAAACAAGGGTCCAGATTTTCGATGATGTCATCAAAATGCGAATCATCCATTGGCTACATTAGCAGATACACCCTTTGAAAGGACCTGCAATTTCCAACAGATTCAACTACTTTCCCCCCCCTTACTTTCTTTTTTAAAGCTTTCATTTCTTCTAAGTTTTCAGCACGAGACGTGTTAACATGACTGCGTGCCATTAAGGCCTGTAACGTCCTCTGTGCCAGTATTGGGAATTGTGCACGTGCTTTAATAACGGTAGATTTACTTTTGGATGCACCGTAGCTGACAGCTGACAGTCAGGGATGACTGCAACTTAATATGTTAACAATATTCTTCTGAAAACCTCCGAGGTCTTTGGAGACGGATTTTCGTAAGCGTGTATTTGAAATGTATCACAGATTGAGTTTATTACTTCTGATCCGTTTAAAGTCACCAAAGTCTGTATGTGACATGGACTCCGTTAAAAATAGGAATAGTGACTAACGCGTGAATTCAGAACCTTCCGGGAAATGTACTGACTTTAATATACATCTGATTTCTCGCTGTACTGACAAACAGCATAAATGTTGGAAAGTGAGTCTGTGACATCCTTAGTTGAAAATTTCTACAAAGTTCTGTTTTTGTTTTTGTTTTTTAATACTTGAAATTGGGTAAAAAGTTTTGTGGAACCAAGTTCAAAAATTACATATTTTGACAATTTAAAAAAAATATATAATTTTAAGTTATTAAAAAAAATATCTTCTTCATTTTCTTATAATTGTTTTTTGTTTTGGAAGTTTAATAACTGCTGTTTTTGATGAGCGTATTCAAACTTTTCGTATGGTTTACGCACGGCCGCTATCTTACCCGGACTCTCGCCTCGGTCAGGTTGGTCCATACGGCGATCTCCTCCCTGGTGCTCATGTCAGGGTAGCGATTCCTCTGGAACGTGGCTTCCAGCTCCTGCAGCTGCTGGCTGGTGAAGTGAGTCCGCTGCCGCCGCTGTTTTTTCTTCTTGGGGTCGTCCGCGTTTCCGTCATCGCTCCTGTGTTCAGCGTTTCTTTCCTTTTCTGTGGGTGACAAACCGGTGTGAAACAGCAGTACTCCTATAACATATTTTGAATGGCATGCAAATAAGGGACGTTTAAACAATGAAGAAGTTAGTGTGTGTACGTCGACAGTTCACTATTTCCCACGAGGATTGAGTACAACAACGGGGAATTTTTTTTAAAGTAAAACAATTGAAAAAGACCCACCGCGATGAAACCAACCATTTTGGTTAATTTATTTACGAAGTCATTCATAAAAAATAAACCTCAAAAGAACAGAAACAAATTAGTCACACATTCACAAACGTGTGTCAGAGTTAGCCATCGGATCTCTTCGGTTTTCGCTTAGAGATCAATATCTTTACGATGAGGTCTGCCCACTCTTATCTCCCAACTGTCTTGTATTTTGTGTCCTAACAATTGCCTCGTTAAACTTAAGAGGCCACACGCGCAAAGGTCAGTCACACACACACACTCGCACACACAGAAAGGGAGCTAGGATTTTGAGAGTTTCCTAAAAACAAAAAAAAAAAGCTTAAAATCACGACTCAAGATTGTAATTTAAAACGATTTACTGTCGTGAATGATAGCTAAAAAAATAGAACTAACTAACCTTGGTGTATTTTCTATTTGCTTCTCGTGCGCCCTGAAAGACGAGAAGAAAGGCCAGAAAGGCCTCTGTTTTTTTCCCTAAAATTTTGGAAAAGCTGAATAATAAAAAGTGTCTTCGGGAACTGTCAACACAGACCGCTTGGTTTTTAGTTTAGATTTGTGGATAGCTCCAATATTTATAGTTTGCTCTAATGCATTCACTGACAGCAGGCCAGGCTGCTCTGCACATTTTTCCCTGACACATCTCGGGTTCCTGCCAAATGTTTGGTTCTGGGAGCACAGTAAACGAAAAATGGAGTGTAACTGCACAAAAAGCGCTCACAAACACAAACACACTCAAATACTAAAATTTGATGGAAACACATTTTAGAGTTTGTCGTTTTCGTGCACGCTGCCCGGTGACACACGGAAATAAATCAAGCAAACACAAGGGATAGAAAAGTTAAATATTCTTTCTCTTTGTTCTGTAGCTTTTAAGTGCTGGGGATGCCTCTCTGACAGTTCGCCGTAAAAATGCTTACGGACACGTAAAATAAACTGTTACAGCACTCAGTGGGAAAAAGAATGGAGAGGCTAAAAGCACTCTGACTGTGTACCTGCCAACTCTGTGTCTGAAGACTCGCTGCTTGAGTTCTCTACAGTTTCTCGACTGCTGTTTGAAGTTCTCTGTAAATGAAACGCGGGGGCCACGTCGCGGGGCGGCGGTGCTCTCACTGCCTCTGCAATTCTGTCCAAATTCATCCCACCTTGAAGAGAAGGGTGCGTAAAAAGAGGAAACGGGGTGAATCCTGTGGATCGCGAGGCTTTCTTTCAGAGCTACGCTACAAAACATCCACCCGCTCTCAGACACACACCACGACATGGGAGATTTAACCATGCAGGTTCGTTTGTTCTTCCACGCAAAACGTGCTTCGAGAGAATAGAAGAAAGAAAGGACAAAAAAATCACACGGCCCCGTTCCCCCTTCTCTGAAGCAGTGACAGCCCTGTGCACTCTCCTTCTATCCGCAGCAAGGAAAAGCTTCCACCCGCTGTGACCGAGAATAAGCTCCGGCTCTCCAACCCTCACGTCAGACCCACCCATTAGCTGCGTTTAACCTCCCCAAAACAAGTCCCACCCACTAAACATGCCCGCTGCAAGAAAATACCCACCCAGACAAGACACAGTCTGACGTCGCGCTTAACAAAGTGAAAAGGTGCATTTAATTAATTTTAGATTTATTAGACGTTTATGTCGCATTTAGATCAGGAAATTTCTTCCAGTGTGAGTGGAGCGAAACTATAAGAGGTGACTCATCTGTTAAACACTCCTAACAAAAACCTGCCACGGTGGCTGTCTGCTCATTTGTTAGTCTTAAGGCTAGTTATTGTTATTACTTTGTATTTTATTTTATTTTATTATTTTTTGCAGTGTACGCTTTGTCAGTTATCGAGGGCGCACAAAGCGAAGCTTTGCTTTCAGGAGTAAAAAAAGGGGCCTTTTATTCGCGCAGGCATGTTTGAAATGTGTCCAGAGCAATGCAGCTGGGCGCGCTTATACACACACGCTCGGCCACACAATGTATATCTCGGATATGTACCGAGCTGAATAAACATTTACCATCCAACACGGTCCTGCCCAGTTACTGTGTCTCCAATATGAAAAGTGCTCGACGATATCAGCCTCGTTGTGCGCATGAATACGAGCGCTGTAACCTGACAAGAGTCGCTCTGTCACCTCGCTGATTCACAAAGAGACAATCGGGAGTAATACACGGAACATTACATCTCTCATTATTTAACAGGATGTGTTTGTCCGTGCTGTTTTTTTATGTACCACATCGTTTGAACCACATCAGTCAAAGAATAAGTAATCTATCAGCAGCAGCAGATCGGTCTGCCCTGCACTTTGCCTAAACAGCCACCACCTCACCACTTCAGACATTACTGATATAATATATTTAAACTCCAACAACATGCACTCAGAATCCAACCGCTATAGATCCCAGCCTTTCAGTGACAACCGCAATATGACAAATGGACCGCTAATACTTCACCTGGTTACGCCTGACTGTGGCTGCGAATGATGACACATTTGACTTTTGTGCGTTTTGTTGGCTGTGACGCGCAAACAGCAGCAAGCAGTGGCTTGATAAAGGAGCACCAACATCACCAGAACATAACGTCTTTGTATCCATTAGCAGTGCTAATTCAAACCAAACTCATCCCGCTAAAGATGGAAAACAAGCAAGATTAAATTAGATGCTACAGGGATTATAATCTGACATTCAGGTATGCGCAGTACTCATGGTGCTTTAGAGCTAAGTGAACTGTAATGTGTCTGTGTGCAAAACTGAAGAGCTGAGTTGCTGATCGTAGTCTGCGTCGCACTGGCTATTTTCGTGTCTTTCTTTTAGGAATGCACAGATGCAGGTTAGATAATATTTAAAGTTTTACCCAAGCGCGGGGCTCTTTTATGGGATGGCAGAAATAGATTCCATGTAACTTTTGCATGAGAAAAGCTCTGCAGGCTTTCTGCCATAGACTCGCCAAGAAGTCTCTGTTTTAACCCAAACCATGAGCTTTTCATCCACCAAACCAAGTATTTCGTTTCCTAACCAAATTGCGCATGAAAGCTGAAAATAATGTAAAAGAAAAGAAGGTCAGCGTAAAAGGCGTTTGCTTCAGACCACTATGAGTAACCCTTTACATTAAAGCAAAATGTAAAGGCCTTTACTCGTGTAACTAAAATCTGTGGGCAAAAGTCTCCATTTAGCATTAGGGTTTGAGTCATTAGACGCACAGAGTGTATAAATCACATTTCTTATTTGAAAGTTTGAGTTTGCATTTGAGATAAATATCTTTTCCATTTAAATGTGATGTGCCTGTAGGTGGTTTGTTATAATATGACAAACACTTACGGGCAATAATGATTTATTGAGTTAAATCACCTCTGAGTGACCAGAAATCACAGGTTTACTGAATGTAAAGAGTTCCAGATTTCTCTTTCTAAGCTGATCAAAGATCACTATAATTTGGCCACATCTGCGATATGAGAGCAGCTGACCTGCTGGCTTGCTTGGCCAGTCTGCTACCTCCTTCAGGTAGAGGCGCACATCAGGCCTCAGCGTCTCAGGCTGACAGACAGTCAGACTGTCACAGGCGCCAGGGTCGAAGACTTTCGGCCATTGTATGAGCGTATGACTTTTGACACGAGATCCTCGTTTTGTTCAAAACTCCCCCGAAGGGTTGTTTTTTTTTTGGCAGAGAATTGTATTAGCTCTCAGAAATCACCTGCCGTGTTCATCAATATTTGCTCAGCCTTTCTCCACAAAGAGAGTGGCACGTGTTTTCACAGACATCTACACTGAATGCACTCAAGAAATTTGAATACAGCGAAACTCATCAACGAACCTTTTACATTTTTAGTGCACGGTGTGTAACTGTTGTATTACTATGGCATAATTATTTGACTAGCTAATATGAATGCGTCACCTTAACCTACTGAGGATACAGTCAACAAGGTTACCGCCGCAGCTTACCGAAGTGCTTTTGGGCACGACACCAGCATCGCCGACCTGCTTACTCATATTCCAAGATGGTTAAATGGTTTGGACACAATATTTGAAAACAATAAAAGTTCGTCTGCATCTAAACTCTGGAGTAAGAAAGCAGAAAAGGCGTTGATGAGGTGAACTCGAGGACCTCGTGACCAGCAGGTGGTCTTTACTATTCAGGTTGTGAAGGTTGAGTGAAAGAGACTACCTGTTGGTAGCTGGTAGGGTTTAGTGGGAGATAGTCTATCAATGAAGTGCTTAAAGCTCTAGCTTGTTTCAAGATTGCAGCGGACTCCTGAAAAACTAAAATCAGAAAAGTCTTATGTGCCATAAAGTATTAGCAAAAGCAAAAGCAGCGTTAAAAAATAACAATAAACCCAGTGACTCTTGAGGTCAATATTATGGGATTTACAGCACAAAGAGATTCGCCATGACGGAGCTCTTATGAATTCTACTTTGTTCTGTCCACATGTTCCTGGCTGATAGATGGGGGTAATCTAAATACCCAGCCTCCTCAGCCTCCATCTATGCCCGCGTCCCGCTCCTCCAGCACTCTGGAGGGCACTTGCGTGTGATGGATGAGTTAAAAAGCCTTTCCATCCGGCAGGACAGGTTAAAGGCCAGTGGCTAAGCAAACACTCATATTTTTTCCCCCAAGAAGTGAAAATAAACTCGGCGAACGCCGTGAATCACACACAAAAATACAGTCTTGGTTTATTTTTCTCGCCAGGGAAAGCGAGCACAGTAAAGCTAACCACAGGACCGAAAAAACAAAGCATATAGAAAATTAAAGCTGGCGAGCTGATTCAAGAGCAGGACAGCAGCGGAGATGTAACTGGACACGGTGCGTAACTGGAGAAGGACAGAGCTGATTATTGCCTTGGTGATTGTTTCCCTGCTTGGTCCAAGGCCTGTTTGACCTGAGGTCTGACAACCAATAAACAGCCTGTGCAGGGAATGCAGGTGTAAATAAAACAACGTCTAATAACCAGCACAGGGAAACACCCATAGGACAAATCCACTAAACTGCAAGAATATGTAAAATTTCCTTTTAAACCCCTTCATTCGTGGTTAAACCAGAACCAGTCCGCCACACGTTCGGTCGTTTCTTTTAGTTTTATATACACGCAGTGTTGATATTTGAAAAGAGAGTGGTTCTTAATATGTGAAAACATAAAAATATACATATACTGCCTTTTAGGGTGAAACTTGATTCCTACTGCATATTATTATTTCCTCGGGGAACGTTTTGTGAAATAGGTTGCACACGATGTTTCATTTAAATTTCCCCCAAACCTCGAAATTATTCCATCGTTTTTACGTATCTTTTTAACGAATGGGGGATTCTTGGTTTTTTGTTGTGATTAAATCCAGAAAAGATTGATTGAGTTATTTTTATGTGAGCTACGACTGCTGGATCTGAAGACAAAAATTAAATGAAATATTTTCAACTGAATAGATTTGCATGTTTATGTGCCGTTTGTAGCATCTGGCTTGATGTTTCTTCGTTTTTCCTTTTGTTTTTAGTGTTTAAAAGATAAATGGTTGGGATTTATCACCAGAAAGATGAAAAACGTTCATTGTTTGTATATGTATTTATTTATTTATAAATTGGCCGATGCCAATTTGTGACTTTGCTTCAAACTCAAAATACTTTTTCCACAGAGCTCCATAATCATTTTGCAGCTAATGAATCACAATATCCATTCTCTTCCGGTTATGCAATTGGGGGTCGCGGTCGGGCTGGAGCCTATACCAGCTGTCATAGAGCGAGAGGCGGGGTACACCCTGACCACGTCTCCAGTTTATCGCAAGGGTAACACAGAGAGACAGACAACCACTCACTCTAGACTTGTACTTCACAATCAGCAGTCATCCTAACATCCTTGCGTTTGGACTGTGGGAGGAATCCGAGACCCACAGAGACACGGAGCGAACACGCAAACTCGACACAAAAACGCCTCAGCCGGATTCTAACCCAGTCCTAACCACCACCACACCACCGTGGATCTGAATATATATATGGATATTTTGAAAAGTCAAACACAATCAACATGTTAAATGTCATACCAGATTCCCCACAAGAAATCACATTCTTCGACAGATTCAGTTCCATTCCAGTTGCCTGAAAAACACAAAAAAAGACAATTAAATCAAACTTTCTCCTTCAAAAAAATCAAAGAGGCTAAACACACTTATTCTCATTAAACCACATCATATTATAGTTACCATTACAATGTTTTTTTTGTTGTTGTTTTTTTAAAATAATGAATAAATGAAAGTTTGTTTAAAAAACAAGTCAGAGCAGGCTGTGTAAAATCCTACAACAGCAAGTTTAATTCTTTCTGGACCCTGGTCTCATACATTTGTATTAAAATTGATTGTGAGAAAAAACATGCAAGACAATTAAGGACAATAGCAAAATTAATAAATTAATTAATACAACTTTTTTAAAAAATAACGCGAATTTTGTGGTAATATTTATTCGAAAGGATTTTCATGTTTTCAGCTCACAGAATGAGAAACACTCTCTCCCTTGCCAATCCCTTTACCCCCCCCCCCCCCCCTCTCTCACACACACACACACACACACACACACACACACACACACACACACACACACAGAAAGATTGACCCTCTTATCTAGAGGAATCCCTTTGCTGCTTTTATGTCCTCAGTAAATCTTTACTCAGTACCCTTCGTCCTTTCGTCCTTCGCTTCAGTGCGCGCACACGCTTGTACTCTATATTAGTTACTCTAAGTAACTCTAATGTAGTGTTTTTCTGGGCTACAGTGGGAATAATGTTGTAAGGTGCAGCTTGCTGACTCTAATGCTCAGACAAACTAGTTTCACACTCGCTGCTGCAGGTCTATGCCAGAAATCGTTGCTGTGCGCAAAGCTCTATTCGCTCAGTCTCTACTCCAGTTTTTTGACAACCAAATGGCCAACAGCATGCTCTTCCTAAAGGAGTCAGCACTTTTAAATATTTTATTTTCTTCTTCACGCTGGACACATCTTCCCCTCTGATTCACATTCCCAATATCTTGAAGTGTTAAAAGGCACAGAGCGACCTGCCCGCCGACCTTCTGACCAATTCCCACAGCTAAAATCCACTGACCTGACACCGTGCGTGCTTTACTCACCAGTTGGTTCCCAGCAGAAGACAGAAAAACGGAATAAACCCTCACGGTTTCCCCATGCAGGTGTTCAGTAAATCCACTTTAGCGTCAGCTGCGCGTAAATGCTGCGTCCGCGGTAATCAGCACTTTGGTCGTCTCTGTGACGATACCTTGGTTTTCTTCACTGCTTTGCTGCACGCCTAGCGTTGACGTCATCACACCGCAACCCCCTGCTGCTGCCGCCGCCACCCCCGCCCCCCCAATCACTGGTCTCCTTTTCATCCCATCGCATCTTCATTTGAACTTTTCTTAAGAAAAAAAAGGAAAAAAAAGACATCACTGAATTCCTCACCTGCGCTGCCATCATCACCTGACGTCACTCTCTTCTTCCTCCCCATCTTAATTCACGATTTTCTTCTCCGCCAAATATGTTCTCAAACGCTTTTTTCTGACTTTTACTTTAACATAGGAAAGCAACAAGTGATGTAATAATAATAAACTTATTTGGTGTGTGTGTGTATGTGTGTGGCGTTGACGAAGGACCGTTTCGGCGTAAAAAAGAAAGGTGAGAAGAGTTTTCTTGATTTTCATCAGAGGGTGTTTGTCCTCACACCGATGACCATCAGCTTGAGGAAAGAAAAAAATGTATTTTGAAGAATTCACATAAAAGAAGACGCACATCCTGTTATATGTAGACACACACACACATTTGCATGTTTATGTGTCGTTTGTAGCATCTGGCTT